TTACCGAATAAAATCTTTTTTAAATTAATATATCAATTCTTCATTTCTGTCTACAATCTATATGTATGGTAATTCTCTTACTGTCAATGTACTTGCGATCTATGCATAAAACATTACGATTTCGTTGTGTGTAAAACATTCTGCACTAAAAAGCTGACTCAACAGGATACAGAGATCTCACGATTACGATTCTTAAATAATTTACTACGAACTTACAATTTAAGCAGGTAACACACCTGATAAAAGAGCATAAAAGGCAGAGGTTTCAGTTGTCTATACATATGAGTCAAACCTGTTGCCAGGCAACAGAAGAATCGATAAACAATGCGTTCAGACGCGATTGTCGCCGGTTCTTTTTAGTTCAACCAGTTCAACCGGAATCCCGAACAGGTCACATCTAATTTCAAACCAGTTCTTTAATAAGGCAATCGACAATATTCGATAGTAAAAAAAACATGTCGATTAAAGTGAGGAAGAAAAAAATAGCCGGCAATTATAAAGTTAAGGAACCTATAAATAATTTTAAAATAAGGTAACATGAATAATAAACATTTCATATAAGTTCATAGTAATGATTAAACTATAGTTTTTTATGTAAAATAAATCACTTGTAAATTCCTTCATCGTCATTTTCAATTATCTCAATTTTGAAAAAATATGACTCATACCGTTTGCTTCCTCTCGCAAACATTTGTTAAGAAAGTTATGGTTCTCGCGTTCGTCCGAAGTAGATATTAAGAGATGAAGTTCGATCGGCGAAACAACGGCACTGTTTGCAGGCGGCGAAAATCCGCGTCGATAGAATTAGATCTCGGGCATCTGGCAGAGATTATTTCCACCTTCTAAATTGTGTTTACCCGCCACGTGTTTATTGTTACAGAGTCCGAATCGTACAGCAAAGGCCTTTGCTTGCGGAGCTGCTCGAGAACGAAGGGGATAACGCCAGGGACACGAATTTCCTGGAGGAAGAAGACCGGATTTTCGGTTGGCAGCAAAAAGTATTTAGTCCGTTCGAGGTGAACTTTTACAGCGAGGAGGCCAATTGTTTGACTGAATCCCAGAAGCTGTATCACCGCCAGATCAAGGAGACCGATATCACCGGTTCTCTACTGTACACGTTCACACAGAATGATCCCTACTATTCGAAGAACGAATTGTTGACAAGGCCATACAGAACGAGATTGGGGAACAGGAACCAAACTGCGTTACCGGTTTTACAAAATCGCAAGCCCTTCTCCGAAAGGTACAAACAGGAATCTAACTGCGGGAATTTATGTGAGAAGGACTGAGAAAATAATTCTACTGAAAAGAGCAAGACTCGAGAAAATAATCCTATTGAAATATCAATATATGAAATTTTTAGTAGAGTAGAATCAAATAGAATGTTTCTTATCCTAAACGAAATTCAACTACTTTTGTTAATTACTGAAACTTGCTGCATAAAGTATTATTGATGAAACTTGTAACTCAAAGATTATACTAGTGGCTTCTACTAATACCTTATAGGAACTGCTTATCCAACCAAGTTTGGAATGTCGTTTTAATTTATCGTGCAGGTATAATAAAACTTAGATCCGATACTACTACAGCTTTACGTGGTTTTCGTGAAATGTCGGTTGTTTATATTTGATAAATTCTTTACTCAGACATGTTACATAAATTATTAATGATAAAAAATTATTATACAGCAGTTCCCTTTAATAGTAACTATATACCATATAGAAACTGCTTGCCCCAAGTTTGGAAAGTAGTTTTGATGTATCCGGCAGGTATAATAAAATGGTGGTTGACGATGCACCTGACGAGACGCGGATCCGTACAAACCATTACCTTTACGCGGATCATTCCACGATGTATGTCATGGTTGATTTATTACAACGAGATAAAATCTTGACGGGCTCCGACGGTGATAATGAAACGATGCTGTGTGTCATCACTTACGACGGGTTGCACAAAATTTTGTCGGTAAATCCAGACTTCACCGATGATCGTTGTTACGTTATCACAAATTCCAGCGGCGTTCAATTTAATTACTGGATTGAACATGCTTCCCAGAAGCCGTCGTCATTGGAATTGCAACAACAACAAAACGAATCGCGGCGTGTAAGTATGTTCGTTTAAATATACCTTCAATTATTCGAATATATAAAAAAACGTGACGACAGTATGTTCACTTGCGCGTTGTTAATAATTGTTATCTTACTTACTCTTGCTATGAAACATAAATAATTGTATTCAGACTTTTAACTTAACTCTTAACTAACTAGTAACCGAGTATGCAATACATGGAACATGTATTTAAATGCCACGTTTATCATACAGTATAATGAGCCTGTTTGCACATTTGGAATTGATTTTTCATTAGATTTTAATACCTATTAGGAATGAGAATTTTTGTTGCATTTCGTATTTGAATTCGCGAATGCTTTTATCAAGTTAATCCAAATGATTAGCCTGTGGATTTTATACACTTACACAGAAATTAGAATTGCAAAAAATAAATAAAATGCAATGTACAAAAACAACATACGTAGATCAACATTTGTTAAATAACAAAAGAAATCTGAATCTAAACTACATTTTTTAAAGTTGTGTATCAGCCATCAGATCTCTGGCAAAAGTTTAAGAAATGTGATAAAAATATATCCAAATATTGAAGCGATAAATTTGTAGGAAAAATGATATTCGTAGGGAAGCAAGGTTTATTAAACGTGCTTTTTAAGTCACAGGAAACTTTTAATACATAATTTCTAATATTTTAAAATATGCCTTTGACACTTTTTGGTAGGATTGTACCTGACTTGCAACTCTCTAAAAGTCTTATCATTTTTGCGTCCTTCTTATTGTCCATTTTAATTACTATCCTCGAAATTAATGTTATTTAAACTTTAAAGTATTTTTAAAACATGTATTAATAATTATACAAAATTACAAGATTCTCTCATTATTGCATCTATATTTCTTTATAAATGAAATTTTTATAAAATCAATATTTTCTCAATTCAAGATAATATTTTTTAATGGTCTCGCAGAATTTCTAAAATATTCCAGTCTTTTATTAATTAACGTAATACGTAATAACTGTTAAAATTTGAATGCTCTGTCATTGTTTTTATTTACGGGCTCATAAAACCTTAAATTGACACTACGAATATTTTATTTCACGTAGAAGTCCGCAGCCTGTTGATTGTATTAATTATGTGAGAATACGTACCCTACGTAGGAGATTTCCGAAATTTGTCTCATCATCCTTTGCGGATAGAACATAGTCCTCGATTTAACGGAAGTTCGTCACCAACACCGACAATGTTTCATTATAATTAAACATATACTGCACTAAACCAGTTTTATTTTACACTTGGTCGAATCGCGTATAGAAACTGAGAATATTTCCTCCGTGTTTAATCGTACACTTGTGATCATTTTATTATGCGTGAAATATCTGATAAAAAATGTATTCGAGGCGAAAGAGCGATGATAGACGTTAGTCGGTGTCTGAAACCCAACTGAATTCTGTGAAAGAGTGAATGGTTGACTGCTTGAATACTCCCACACATATATGTGCTAGATACGAGAATACGGATATGAGTGACATGACACGGGCATCTATTTACACGCACACGACGAACCGATATTGCCATGACCATGACTATCATCTAATGTAAAAGTCTTCCATAAATTTCTCCAAAAATTCTTCCATAAATTTTAACGAACATTACGATTTGAAATGACAAAACTATTTTATCATTATCTCGTTAAGAATAAATGTATTCGAGAATAAAACAATGTCCACGAACAACGCTGGAATTCTTACAGGAAATTAAAGAGCGACTGATGTATAAGGAAGCGGAAATATCTCACGGCTTGCAGCCAATACCGCCGAATGTCTACAAATTTTTTATAAAGCTCGACATTCTATCGGTTCACGAGTTCTTCTTTAACGGGCTTTGCGTCTCTTATTACGTCGACTTGCCAAAGCATTGGAGCACGAGTCAACAAGATAGATTATTTGGCAGAACTCAAAGATCCAATTTGAAGAATAATACCGCGTATTTTAGTTATGCGACCGAAATTGCGTTAGATTTTCAGTCGGTGTGTCCGCTCGATGGAAATAATGTTTTGCCGTCCTGGCCACGGTTGTTGTTGTCCGTCACATCGTTGGATACCTGGTTCAGGTGGATAGATAAAATGTATTATAATGTAATATAAATGTTGGGTCGATCAGTAAGTTCTGCGGTATAAAAAGCAACAACGGTTTAGAATTTTTAATTGTGCGAGAAGGTCATCAGATCAGAAAAAAATATTAAATAGAATATAGTTATTT